TGGCTTAGGTCCATGAGTTCTGTTGTGTGGGCAATGTCCTGCCCAAGATGTCTTGTAGACGTCATATCACTTCAAATTAGCACGCTGTCTTGTAGGTACCCCACTTTACCATACTTTACCACATTATAATACTTTCGATTACACATTCGTTTTACGTGGGTTCGCGCTGCCTTTTTTGCCTTGTGGCGGTGTAGCAAGTTGTAGACATTGTTTAGTTTTCAATTTCTCTAATCTTCTTGGCACTGTCTACGATCCCTTGCAAGTTGCACTCAAGCCTTTTTCCAACACGATCGCTCACTGGTAGGCCGTCGGGCCTCACCCACCTTAGCTATAGCCACTTTGCGTTCATGTATCTTCTCCTTTCTCCTCAGCGTGCGCATATTTCGAACACAGTCCACGTAGGCGAATGCCGCTGGCACGCGATAGTCTCCAATCAACTGCTTGAGCTTGGCGGTAGCAGCTTCCACTTGCTCCTTTTCCTGAGAAGGCAAAGAAAAAAGGAGTATATCGGAAGAATGTGGAATATGTAAATATGCATTAGTAACTGGACTGCAGAAAACTGATTACAGCATGAAAATATGAAATTTTGTTTGGTGTTGAGGGTTAATATGATTCAGACCTGACCAGAAACATTTTTTTTGCTAAATGAATCTAGAGCCAGTGCGACTTTTGGCGAATATTAAGCAGCGCTTTTCAATTCGGCAAACTGAATATATTTTGCAGATTTGGTAACCCTTTACCTCGTAAAGTCTAAGGTCTTCCAAAACAAGTCTTATGTCTATGTAATAGAGGCGTTGGCATTAAGTAACGTACAAAATCTACAAGTCTATTCAATTTGTAATGTCGGTATTGATCCATATAAGTGCTGAGGGTAAACAGGAATTCCCCAAACAAAATTGATTTAATAAATGAGACACCGTTGTGATAAAAGTTTTATTGTAGAACGCGTACCTTTCTGGAGCTTTCTATTTCAGCTTGCGTACGTTCCATTAGGTCTCTTCGGGTTTGAATCTCCGATTTCAATACCTTTGCTTCCTGTAAAACTGTGCTTAACTTCCTCTACACATTGTGCTGATTAAAAATAATGCCATCTACCCTGTATGCATTTACGACCTGCAGTGTTCTGCCGGCAGTCAATTTGAGACGCAACAGCTCATGATTCTTCGCATCGATCGATGCGAGAAATATAGAATTTTCAATTTTAAGCTGTTCAAAGTCGACCTCGTGAAGAACTTCGCCCATCTCCTCCTTCTGTCGCAACTGTGCCATTAGTTTCTTCTTTTGAATTTTTAACGTTGAGTTCTTCAATCGCAGTTGTTCTACTAGTGTATCCTTAACGTTGGAAGAAAATTAAGGTGATCGTCAATGTACTATTAAATAGATTTGCTAGACGTTTTGGTAGAAAAATCGATAAAATTTTCATTTGCATCAAGAATACGATTACGACGCATCTGTTAAAATAAAGGTGATCTAAAACGCAGAATTTAGTCAAAATTTTCTATGTTTACACACTATAATCAAATTCTGATTTTAAAATCGTTGGATAACAAGCTTTGTTCTTGATCGGCCGTAATGGTTGTGGAATACTTTAAAAGGATCACGCTCATAATATTGACTAGTTCAGAACAATGCTTCATAGAGAATGTTGTTTTTACAAGATTTTAAGTACGTTCGATGAAGGGAGATAGTGTTGGTTGAGTACAGTATTACCAAACTTACGGCTGATCAATATTATGATTTGCTCTCTCCTGCTTAGGAGAGTGTGTGGAAATTTATGAACTGTATTTGGTTCAGGATCGAACACCCTTGAGAAAAATGAATATTTGGCCTTCATTGTTTTCCCTCAATCTACAGAAGCACCTTAAATGTATAATAAGAAGACTAGTGAGTGTGCGTCTTTGCTAGCCTGGTAACCGTTATTCACGTCTGTAGGGCAGAAAAACTTGTAATTTTTAATCAACTAGGTAGAGACAAAAGCATATGTTCAATGTGAACAGTGAGTTCTCTGGAGTATACTGTTGTTTTTCTGTGGGCGAAAGGCTTGCTTTATTCAGTATTAGCCTTAAAACAGGCAGTCAGATGTAAAGCAGCTAGTAGACTAAAACTTGACCGGCAGACAAACTTATAGTTAAACAACTGTTTGGGAGAATAATAAATGTTCCAGCTAATGAGCAGAACTGACTAACGTAGAGGACGTGTAGAGGGGAAAGAAGGGTTGTTGATGTAGCAAGCAACAAGGGTTGTACATGTAAACACTTTTGTCCTCACATAGTCGACATTAGAAATAGATTTGTACGACGCAGAGAAGTGCTACACGTTAATATATGGGGTACGCTTGGATTACAATCTTAGGAAAGTTTTTAGTTTTCAGTTTGCGATATTGCGTTTTGCTTTCAAAAGACTGTTTTCGGAAAGTAAGTTTAAATATGAGAAACCCTGACCGAGGCGACTTCTTCCGATATCCAATTTTAGTATTCATTGGCATTCAGCGATTAATTCCTCCTGGGAAGTTGCGTCTTGGTTTTTTGGTTGATGCCGCATATTATAGCCACCATTTCGATTTTTAGACCTATTCGTCTTTGTTTAATCATTTACCTGTTGATTAATCATGGCAATTCGGACAATAGTCAAAAAGTTACTACAAATCTTCTTAACGTACCCTACCGCGAATATGTTCCTCCAAAAACCGCATTACCCTCTCAGCAAGTACCGCGTGGAAACGCTCTTGGTATGAGGCTTTAATCACTTCTTTTTCAAAATCGTAAGTGAATTTTTTTGCCTCTTTTAACTGTATGTCAGCCTCTTCGATTATAGCCTTAAGGGTAATTACAACAATTGGAACACTTTATGAGTTACTTTGTAGCCATCGATGATTTTTTCTGACGATGCTTTGAGTGCTGCCATATCTTGTTTATAGTCCTCAATTTCCACTTGCGCTATAGTGCATTTTTGTTCGGCTGTTAACTTAAGAGTGCGATCTTGAACAGCGCCACGGCTCCTGGACCTGGACCTCTTGCGGTTCGTATCAGAAGCAGGAGCTATTACATTTTATGACCGAGCATTTTAAAATGCTTACCTTCTTCCGGCAACTCTATCTTTATGTCGAATTTTTTGATATAGCGGTCCATCATCTGGTTTTCAAACTCCAGTTCCTCAATAATTTTGCTTCACAAATAATAAACAAAACAATTTACGTGTTTTCTTTAATAAAATTGTGCAAAGCTGCCTCATTGAAGTTGTCAAAAGCACTCTCCGACTTTTGCTGTGTTTCATCCGTGTTCTCATCATCCATTTTCAAAAACCCACGGTGGTAGTAACTAAAATATTTGGTATTGACCCTTTGCGGTGGTGCATTAGAAGTTCATGTTCAACACACATCGAGTTTTACTAACGTGTTGTGCTAAGTTATACTAAATACCTTGTGAAATTTAACCTCATCCCTGAGCTCAAGCTTTCTTAAGAACTGTACACAAGTTTTAGGGTGGTGTGGACGTCTCAAAGGCGAAACGGCCAGTAGATTCCATGAGAATGGAACCGATTTTTCGGGTCCACTTGATCGAAACTTCTAAGGCAGAGCCTTAAACACTAAAAGTAAATGTGAAAGGTTTATCTGGGCCAGTGCGCGATGTGACAAGACTTAAATAAAAGCAATTGTCCAGACGCAAATGTCAAAACTGAAGGCAGCGAGAACCAAGGTTGGACTTGAAGACGGGAAACATTTATGTTCAGGGAACGTTTCTATTTAAAACCCTGAAAGATTTATAAAGGAAACCAGCACCAGACGAAGACCATAATCCAGGATATAGTCCCCCTCAGGTACTAATAATTTCGATAACATACGTCTACATAAGGGAAGTTACCAAATTTTTCAGCCGGCCTTCCGTTATCTGAAAATGACTGAAATCACATAAGAGGGTGTTTATATTCTTGTTAGTCGTCTTCGAGTTGATTTTAAGCCCACGTGAAACAACATTTAACTCGGCATATATAAGAAAGACTTAGGGCCTTCACCAAGTCGTCTTGAGGATATACGGTTGAAAAATATACGAAGATTCAGTACAATTCAGTACATATAAGAGAGAGAAGCTGAGCGGTTGTAAACCATATTTACAGATAAATGCTGTTAGATCATATATGTGTTTCAAAGCCATATAAGCATTATATAAATCGTTGTTGTCTACCAAATGTATGACCAGCAAATAAAGATCATGTCTTCCTTTAAATGCGTCACCGCTTTCAGCAAGAACAACTGAGGAAGGAAGTTTATTCCAATCTCCAATGACCCGGTGGGAGCAGCAGTTGGCCCGCACTTCTTTTTTGGTATGGTATTTCTTCAGTTTGTACGGATGACCTTGTAGATGTATCGTTTGTACGAATTCAAAGAAATGAGCCATCTGAAGAGCACAGTCTACTCCCCTGGCGAGTTTAAACACCATGATGATATCTCCTCTGTATTGCCTATAAAAGAGAGGAAGAAGATTGTGCCTATCTAGGCGACCTTCATATGGTAGACCTCCTAAGCTGTTGACTAGTTTGGCTGCCCTCATTTGAACTTTCTCCACTACTGCGCAATACTCTAATATCGGCGAAACAAATGTTCCGGAGACTCGCCCAATGAGCTCCTGATCAAAATAGAGGAAGGACCTTATTTATCGCCCATAGGATGCCCATAGCCTTATATGCACTTTTGGCACTGTTAGTTGACGGTTTGAGATTGGTCGTCATACTTACCCCCAGATCCCGTAGTTTGTTCACTTGCCCCAGTTGGATACCTTCGGTAAATTAGTCATAATCAAATGTTATCACCTTTCTGCGACTTGACAGTAGGCGGACGACTTGGCATTTGTTGTAATTTAACTGCCGTAGCCACTTTTCACACGATTTTTGCAAGCTATACAAGCTATTTTGTAAGGTCTGTCCATCCTCCGAGCTTTCAATTGACTTCCAAATCTTTAGATCGTCTGTAACCATGACTTTCTCACAGGTAAGGTAGTCAAGGCAGTCGTTCATATATACCGGAAATAAAATGGGATTCAGAATGTTTCCCTGTGGAACCCCACTGGAAACGGTTTTCCACTCTGTTTTGGTGTCTCCAATGCAACCACGCGGACGCCTGCCTGTTAGAAATTCGGCTAACTATGTTAGTAGATTTACAGTCGCACCCATTTGATGCAGCTTTGATATAAGTCAATAAAGATCGCATCGACCGAGCAAGCCATTTCCAAAGAATTCTTCCACTTTTCCATGGATGTTAGCGGTTTAGTGAGACAAGATCGGCCACTTCGGAATCCGTGTTGCGTTGCGCCGCGCTTAGCGAGCTGTTCTCTGCAAAATGTTTCATTATTTCCATTATGGTTACGTTCTCTGTTAGTTTGCAACAAATGCTTGTGAGAATACCTGGCCTAAAGCTATTAAGCGATGTTCTCTCTTCTTCTTTATAACTAGGGCTTATGCTGGCCAGCTTCCATTCAGTAGGCGGAACCACATTTTCCATCGAACTTTCGAGTATCTCGGAAAGTGGGGGGGCAGTTGTTCTTCGAGCTCATTCAGAAGTTTCGTTGATAAGCCATTCTGACCAGGCGATTTAGTGAGTTGTATTTGTCTCAGGGCTTTTTTTACTGTGTCTGTTGAGAAAGATACCATGCAAATTGTATGCGCCGCTGGGATAATACATCTCTGTGCATCCCCGTTAAAAGGCATCTGCTCGGTATATACAGACATAAAGAAGTTAGACAACAGGTTCGCCTTATATGAGTTATCGGTAAACTTGTGTCCCTTGTTATCTTTCAGACAAGGAATGGGATCACGGTTGCGTTTTGCCTTATTCACGTAAGAAAATAATCTTTTTGGGTTGTTAGCTATTCCCTTGACTAGTTCTGTCTTAAAGGCCAATCTTTCACTTCGTAGTGGTTTTTCACATGCGCTTCGCTATTTCTTAAATTCGGAGAAGTGTTCGGGTTGTTGATACCTGGCATATGTTTTCCGTAGTTTTCTTTTCTTCCTGAGGTTCCTTTTTATGATGGCTGTTCCGGCCGGGAGCAGCGCAGGCTTTTCTTAAGCGGACAACAGTTCTCTACTAATTAGTGAGTTAAGTTACTAAAGGAGCACCAGGCGTCGTTCGGGTCGGGTACGTAAGCAGGTCTCCAGTCAGTCACATTAAGTAGTCCTTTCACTTTAGTAGAATCTCCTTTCCATACATTCCTCTCGCTTATTGCACGAGTGATGGGTACTGCGAAATGGCTGTACTCCCAGACAAGAACACAATGATCACTTCGGCCAAAAGGGGTCTGAGTATTCAGTCCAAGGATACAGTTGCAATTTCTATTAAGGACGAGATCCAGACAGCTAGACTGTTGGCCACTCTGGAACCGCGTATTCATTGTGACATGCTGGGTAAGAAATTTGTCACTTACCAACCGAAGTAGTTTCTGTTCGAATGAGCTCTCTGATCGCGAGCTGTGCGTCAGTTCCCAATCCATTTTTGGAGAGTTCAAATCTCCAAGCCTAAAGACATTTTTCCTACGGCAGATTTGTTTTACCTCAGTGATAAGTGCATCGTCCGCGCCCGTCCTTTGTCCTGGGGGTCTGTATACCAGAGCAATATAAAGGTCAGTTTGCTTTGGTACTCTAAGTTTACAACCAATTATTTCGCAGGAATTATTCCTACGTGATGGTGAACTATCTGGGATGTAGTCGATACCATCTAGTATGAACATTGCGATTCCCCCACGCCTACGTCTGTTTCTGTCCGTGCGGATTGCCATAAGGCTTTGGGGTTTATCATAAGATTTACCGCTGTCGCGTAAATATGTGATCATCAAGTAGACCTTTATCTAGCATTTTTTAAAATATCTGTTGTATGCTAGATAGAACCTGTTCTCTGTCCAGAAACAGGGATTTAGAAAAGGAAGATTCTATGTGATACGGTTGTAGATATCCTTCCGGAGTAAGGCTTACGTTATCAAGACTATGCATGCGTTTCCCATAGTCTAACTTGACTTTCGAAATGTTGCGGACGCCGTGGCACACTAAGCATTGTCGAACGAACTCGAACTGGTACGAATCAGCGGTAGCATCCTTAAGTGGATAAAAAAATCTTTTGGACCAGTGGTAAGTTGTGTGCATCAACCAACAGAATCGCGTCCGGTTGCGGTCCAGAGCAAGCCTCCTCAGAGTTACATATTAGAATTCATTCTGGTCCTACTATAGGTGTACGATTAGGCAGCGTTTCCGAATTGTTTTTTGCCTTGGATAGGGGACGGGAGAGGTTTGCTACAAGAGTGAATACCAAATGAAAGAAGATACAGAACATGGAGGCTTTCGTTTGAGCATTTGTTTGCAATAATCCGTTTGGAAGCGCAGGGCTGGGCTCTGTTGATTATTTCATTTGGTACTCGCGTATGCTATTGCGATACTCCAAAGAGATCAGCCCTATGGTAAGTACATAGTTCGAGGAACCCCGCTCTCAACGGCAAATTCTGCCGAATTCGTGTCACCGACGTGGACAGTTTGAGATTGGCCAGGTAGGAAGCTTCGAAAGCCCTTTCACGAGTTTTCTTATAACACCTATTTGACTGATTTTGTGTAACTGTCTTTTATGTGGAACAAAATGGAATGCCTTCATAAAGTCAATATAGACCGTGTTTCGTCTCTGACCTTTTACGACTGTATCCAGCAGCCACGCGTACGCCAAAACCAGTGATAACCACTATCAAGGTGGTGCGTACTATTAACCAAATAGTAAAGGATAATCAGAGTGCAAAT